TTAATGGCTCGTAAAAAAAAAAAAAAAAAAAAAAAAAAAGAAGTGGCTGAGGGTAAGGTGGTGGTGGTGGTGTAAAAAGGGTTAACAATTATAACGCAATTAACGGTACGTTCTCTCCGGCCACTCTGTGCTATTCTCTCTCTGGGACTGTAAAGTTTATATTCTCCGTAACTCCCTCCAACGCGGTGTGTGTTTGTGTGTGTATATAAAAGGCACGAATTTTTGTAAACTGTGTCTGTCGGAGCGAGTGGAAAGGAGAAGTACGAAAAAATCCGCAAAAAGGGTTGAATATATTTCTTTTCCTCGCCCCCGTTCTCCTCCCCGGTGCGGGCACTCGCGAGACAGCCCCTCGAAAGCCATTAAGAGAGAAAGGCGAGTGGATTTCATAAAAATCGGGAGGCCGGTGTCTGCACTCGAGCGATCGAAGCAAGAGGGGTTTTATTTATCCGCGATTGTTGCAAGGGGATGAGTCACCCCCCTCGAGCGGCTCGAGAGAGATGTAGTTTCAAGAGAGAGAGTTTCGAAGGCGCTGCTGTACACACAGCTCCCGAGAGCCAAGTAGCCCCCCCCCCAGTCTCTGTATATTAGCTTGCATTGTCCCTCTCGCGGAAACAAAAGCTCGAGCCGGCTTACGCTCGCGCGTTCAAAAGCGTAAAGTTCAGTCTCAAGCGCCGCCCCCTCCTCTCCTTATAGTTGCTCTTTGTCCTTCGTCGGTCGTTTTACACGTGTTTCTTTGTACAAGCCTCGCGGTGATGCGCACCGAAAAGTACACTCCCGATGCCTATCCTCCCGCGTACTCGCAGGTTTTTACGTGTGCACGTTCTCTCCCTCTGACTCCGAGTATACGGTCCGAGACACTCGATTCCACTCTAATCTTTTTTCGCCGAGATTTCTTTTTCCCAAGCACGAAAAGCTCCCTGCAACGGGGAAAAAAATAAAGATAAAGCCACAGAGCTGCTTTTACCGCTCGTAAAAACGCACCGGAGACCCGAGCAATTTACTTTCGGGGCGAACAAAGCCGGGGGCCAAAAGACTTTTCAAAATGCACACCCCTTCAAAAGTGCAATGTGAAACACGACGGCGACGGCGACGCGTGAAATGTGATTCACGACAGTCGACGCTCTGCGGAGTAGTGTATGTACATCGTTACTCCACGTAACGAAGGAGAGTTTGAGGATATAAAGTACAGCGTGTATAGAGAAAGAGCTTTGACAGCTTCGAAAGCGACGCTCGCGAATTTCAATTCCTCGGCTAACAAAATGCACGTTACGTACAATGGCATGCAAACTACTCGCTCCTATGTATATAATATATACACTTACAGTGTAGTGTGACAGACGTCGGGGTGTGCACTGCGTCCGCGAGAGAATTTGGAGTATGCCTTATTTAATCCTCTAACGTTCTTTTCGTCTCTCTTAAGAAGCTGCTGCTGATGCTTCACACTTGCTCTAAAATGCAAGTCTTCGGGGCTGAATCTCCCTTTTTCTCTGTGTACGTGTGCACTAGACTCTCTCGCTTCATGTTGTGTACGTAATGCAATCTCAAAACGTGTAATCGATCGTGTACTCGAATAATGTATGTACGCGGCCCAAGTAGATTTTCCCTCCCGGGAACGATACGGTGCAGGTGTCTGAGCGCAATATTTTTTTTTCCCCCCACAGTTATTTTCCCAGATTATACTCGGAAGGATATGCTTGCCGAGCTGTTTTTGTACAATACTCACTGTCGCGGCAGCGAAACAAATGGCACGGGAGTGATGCGTACTTTTGCGAGGCTGCAAGATGCAACACCTCGTATACATATAGTAATTTGCATGTGAAAATAAACACAACTTGGAGTATGTGCTCACTCTTGAATCCAATGATTTACATTTGGATAGGTTTTCCCATCAATTTTTTCCCCTTTTAATCCTCCGAATAACAAATTCAACAAAACATTCGGTTTTGAGGCACTTAATTTTCTTTTTCCTCGACAATCCAAGAGAAAGTACGTCGAAGGACGAAACTTGTGGATGTCAATTAAATTTTTTTTCACTCGACACTTTTACACTCTGTCAGGAGGATAAGCTTAAAAGCCACCCAACACAGAAATCATTTTTAAATGAGATGCCACTTAATTCCGTCGCTAATGCATTTCAGCCACACTCTAGCTTTTAGACGTACATTCATTTACAAAATTCAAACGTTTAAAAGCCAATCGCCGAAAGTATAACCATTAGTTAACATTTCATCAAAACTAATATAGTTGATTTAGCTTGAAAAACGGCACAACATCCTGTATCTACTAGTGCATCTTTAAATGTATCCAACTTTGCGCCTAAATGAAGCTGTAGTATGTAAAACAACTTTCGGCGCGACTACTACGATCATCCGTCTCTAATTTGTCGCAATCAGTAGGAACGAGTCGCGCTGTAAAAGGATACCCCCTCAGGCAGGTGACGCGGGCCAGTTAACTTTGACGCGTGCACAACAAAAGTTTCGACGACTTTGTCACTACGCTCCCCGTCTCTTTGTCGCTTGGGCTCCCGAAACGCAATTGCTGATTACAATGGCATGTACAAGAAGAGCCCGTCCCACCCTCGCTGGGATGAACAAACGTATGAGAATTTGCATTTTACGCCGGGCTGTTTACTTAGTCATGCCAAGTGCGAGAATAAGCGCGGGAGGGGGCAAGGGAACGTAAGATCCTCGCCATCCGAGAATAAACTGAATGGCGTTATTGTCGGCGATACGCGGGACTGTGGAGCGCGCAACTATATGAAAATGAAATTAAGCGAGAGAGAGAGAATTTGACTTTTTTGTCCCCCCCTTTTCTTCCGCTATCTCTGTATTTTATCCTCTACTCGCGAGGGACGGCGAAAATGTCATTTTTCATCGTCACCGTTAAACGGAGCTCGAGCGAGCGCGTTACTTTGTACACTGAGCTGGAAAATATAATAACCATCCGTTATACACTCCGTCAAAGTGCAAACTCAAAATTGTCTCGAAAATAAGGCTTGCCCGGCCTCATTGAAACGAGACTAAAACCAAAGGCAAAATGGCCCATTCGGTTGTACAAAGAAAAACGTTACGGGGCCACGACTCCTCATCCATAGTTTTGCCCTGCAATCGGAGCGCGCCGATTTTTCCTTGGAGCTTTTGCGATCGATGCGTGTATGTATCCGTTGCTCCTCGGTTTTGTTTTTCGTCCGCGTCTGCTTTTAGCGAAACGAGCCTCCCTGGTTTTTGCACAGCCGCGCGAAGACCAGCCGCGGAGAACAATCGAACGGCACAAAAACAGCCCCTTAACGTAGATGGGAGAAAAAAGCCCGACCGAGCTGTCGAGCATCTGCTACTCCGCATTTTTTTTTTTTTTTTTTCCTGGCTCTGGATTGACGTTTGCTCGCATATATATATATATATTTGTGAATTATAGTTTTTTTTTCCCCAATGGAGTCCAATGGAGGAGAAAATGGAGCTGTTACGGGTGTCCTCCCGTCCATAGACGGCGCGCCGTTACTTTCGTAAATTGCAAATCTTGAAAATTGAAACTCCGGGGGGAGGGAAAACGGGCGCAGTGTATTTTCCCATCGTCAAAAAGCCGAGCCAGTGGACCGAGCGGAGCTAGTGTTTTAACCAGCCCCGACTAACGACCTATGCCCCGGCTGTACCGTAAACTTCGCAACGGCCCGGTCGAGAGAGGTGTCGGGGGGTGGGGGGAGAAAAAAATGGGGAGATAATTAAAGCGAGCACATGCAGCGTTCCGATGATCGAGGATAATGGTGGGGAGGCAAAAAAACGATGCTCGTAAATAATAGGCGGGAAAAAAAAAAAAATTGCCGAGCACGGGTTTGGGTTGCTGACGTTGCTGTAGCGAAAAATAACAATCGGTGGTGAGGAGGAGGGGGGGGGGGCTTTGTCCCACTACTCCTTTCCGCAACAATTTCAAAAGTCAATTATCGCCCGGGTGGGTGGGGGGATTTAAAATTCATGTTCGAGACACGTTTAATTTTACGCACCAACTTTTTAATTAAAAGTTTATTTTGAAATTCCGTTCCGCGACACCAGAGTCCGTCCAATGCTCTCTCGCGCCTGAAGCGTTAATTTGTGCTTTTCTTCCCCCCCCCTCCCCCCACTCCCTGCGTTTTACTATGTGTGCGGGGTATAGGTGTCTTCCGAATCCACGGAAAGTTTGTGCTTGCCGCTAAAAACGGTGCAAAAAAGTGTATATGTCCCGAGCGCCGAAAGTACAAAGGGGAGAAAACGGGGTCTTTGCATGCGCCACAGACACACACACACACACACACAATCCGCAGTTTAAATTTAATTGCGCGTTTAAATGTAGCACGCTTGTGGTGGTTTTTTTTTTCTGGCGAGCAGCTTTTGCCGTTGATTTTCGGGGGGGTGTTTGTGCACGAATTTTTTCTTTCCCCTCGCATTAATTGCTTCGTTCCGGGGGAAAGTGAGCTTGAAACAGGTGGAAAAGTTTGCGAGTCTGAAAAATCCAAACCTCGACTCTATAGAAAGGACAGGGTAACGAGGACAAATAGAGCAGCATCCGAGACCCGATTCGTCCTCGGTGGGAGTAATGGAACGTCATCAGGACGAGACAGGCCTTCCGTCCGAGCGACCCCACTCACGGTCGTGACTCGGTAAAATTTTCTGGCTCCAATGTCGCAATTAAGACCCACCGATGCCCCCCTTGATCGTGTACAATATTACACGCCCCTTCCCAAGCTGCACACACCCACGCACGTCCCCCTCTTCAGGTGCAATTAGTTGGCGCCAGTGCTCACACATTGCAGTAAATGATATCGTGTGTCGCGGAGCTTCTTTCTCCCTATAATCTGATCGAAAGAGAGTCATCGGGAGCCAATTAGCCGGGCGACGAAGCCCATGTACCATGTATATATAGTATACGTGTATGCCCATCGGAAAGGAAGAGAGAAGCCGTGCGCGTACGAAAAGAGAGTATGTATGATTATACAGATGAGTTGATGCGATGCGTGTTTTTCGTTGCAGACCGGCGAGTCCCGTTCAACATACCCTCGGATTGGAAGGCGCTCTGGTACAGCAACCTCGACGAGCTGCAGCGGGTCAACGAGGCGAACGAAAACAACACCGTGTCCAACGTGACGGTGCAACTCGGCGGCACGGCTTTTCTGCACTGCAAGGTGCGCAACTTGGCCGAGCGCAGCGTCTCCGATGCCGAGGTGAGTCTCCTATTATATACTTACTTTTATACGCGCAGGATGGAAGAGAGGCTTTGGGGGGGGGGGGGGGGGCTGTACTCCATTACGCCGCCGCAAATCCTCGTTGCGCGTATCTCTCGACTGTGCGGTGCTTCCTCGTGAAATCCCCTCGAATAAGGACGCTGGCTGCCGGCTCAACCGCAATTCTATTATTCCCGCGCGGTTCTCGAAATTTAAAATGCCCGACATAGCTACGAAGGATATACCATATACATATTATGCACGCGGAGCCCTGAATAAGTGCAACTCGTTGGTAAATCAATTCCTTCTCCGTTTTTCTTTCCACTTGTGTATCACATGTAAATGAAACATTGGTCGCTTGGATAATGTCCCCGTGAAACTGGGTTGGGTTTAAATTATGCACGGGTGTGGCCGTGTTTATTTGCTCGTTTGTATATATGTGCGATGAAAGTTTCATGGGATCAAAATAATCAGTTTATGTGTACTACGGAGGTATTAACGAGTTTTTATATTTAGAGTATAGGCGCCACTGATTGGTGTCGTACTCTCGAAATCTGAATTAATAAGTATATTTCTAACCGATTCGCCCGTACGATCGGGGTCACTTCTACATTTAATCGTACCAAAATTAGATTCACCGGGAAATCGGGCACTTAATGATCGTTAACCCGAGTATTTGTGGATACAAGCTCGCGATAAACGATCGAGGACAACATATACTGTGCAACGGAGAGGGAACAAGGGTATACTTGCGAGATGATGGAGAAAGAGGGTTTCTGTTATCCGTATAAACGAGTCTAATTGATGCTTGGGATCTGTATACTCCGATTGTTTTTCTAAACGCGTGTTGGTACGCAACAATAGTCAAAGTCACTTTACTTTGGAATGAAAAGTTATGTAAATTTAGCTGATTCAGATTTAAAGAGTAAGACACGTTTGGATATCTGATGCCGCGTGGATTTGTATAGTCTCAAGTGTACTTGTGCTCCATTTCGTTGATGACACATTTACATAAAAAAAAAAAAAAAAAAAGGAAACCATCTTGGAGGAACCCTCGTTGAAAAGTTACAAATTAAATTGCCCGAAATTAATTCGCTCTCTTCAAAAGTAGTCCAAATTATGATGATTTATGATCGGAATGAACGAACCGTGATTAGCAAACTTTCAATTATTCACTTCTAATAAAAAAAAAAAAAAAAACTTTGACCGCGGAAGCGGCTGTTTTATACAGAGCTCATTTTCCCAAACTCATCTTTCCAACGTCACTTCCGTTGCGAAGAAGAAAAAAGAAAACAACGGGGAGGTGAACAGACAAGTGTCGGGGAATCCCCTCGCCGCACCCACAATAGCGATATTGCGAAATAGAGGTACAATAGGTCAGACGAGTACAATGGGTCTCAAGCTTGTATTGGGAAGGAGGAGGGCAGCGGTTATATTATCAAGATTGGTGAGTCTCGTGTATATATAGCCCGCACATCCCTCACAATACGCGTATATAAGTGATCACAGCGTCCCCGACGGTACATAAGATGGAGAGGCTTTAAATAAAATGAAACGTCACTGAAAACCAAAAGTAAGAGAAAAAAAAAACACCACACCGTCTTACGTCTCCATATTCCGTACTATTGTAGCCGGCCAAGGTCGTTGCGGGTCAGATTGGCCACCGCAACGTCGGCCTCCCCCCCCCCCAGTTCCCATTGTTCATTCGCGAGTCGGCCCGTCGCTTGACTCGTCCCATCCATCTCCCGGCTCTTTATCCCTCCGTCGCGCACACGCGTGCTACAATCGCTGCTCCAGCACGCACATCCATCCTCCGAGGTATCCAGCCCTCGTAATCATTGCCGATGCACCATCATCGACTCTCTCTGCGTGTACGTATAGACGGTGTAACCCCATTAGCGCTTTCACAATCGTCCCATAGTTGCGACCAACCAACCAAACCCATAACCGTATATAGGCCGCATGTATATCCCGATTCAGCGCGTCGACCACCCCTGTAATAACGTTTCCCTCGCAATCTGCCGAGTTGCCGATCCGCCAATTTCACGTGGACTCGCTCCGAGTGTAACAAGCTTCCCGTGATTGCCGAGAGCGCGTCCCGCGCCTCCGACTCCCTAGACTTGAGGGGGGGGGGTTACTGACTTATTATTATACACACGCTCCCCCCGAACAAATGACCCGGGAAGAGCCACTTTCCATCCGTAATCGTACCAGTCCAGCTTGAATCGGCTACTAATTTGCACATACCTCCCCTCCCCCCGCTCCATACGCTGATTTTGGTATTGATTCTCGGATAACGGGTCATGTATACGGTAATTACTTTTTCAATGGCGATGCTGGTACCCTAGACGGATTCCAGCCCGTCTCTACTTTCACCGGTAATAAATAACCCCTTCCAATACCCGCCCGACACTCGAAACTACTGTACATTACACCACCTATACACTCCCGTTTGCGGATACCGCATAAGTCCTGGGAAGAGCAAGAGAAGTAGTTAGGGGAGGGGTGGGGTGGGGGGTCTCGAATTAATAGCGAAATCGGCGTAATAAAGTGAAACAAGCTGTAGAACGATTTGCCAGATGTAAGTGGAGCGTCGAGCGGCCGATCTAGCGCACCTGCCGACCATACCGTTACACCTATATACCTATATGCACACGGGGTGGGGGAGGATATCATGACGACTCCTCGCGTGCAGCGACTCCGTATATCAATCCCTTTACCAACGAGTACGTACGTGTGCATATGCACCCTGTACAACGGCCGATAGTTTAGTTCGCTCTACACGTTGAACAAACCCCAACAGTCGCCCGATTACGACTGATCGAATTCAATTTTTGATACAACGAACAATTACGTTTAACCAGCCGTACATATTTTCTACTCGTGTAGGGGGGTCTCGTGTTTTTTTTTTTTTTTTTTTTTTTTTTTTTTTTTTTTTTNTTTTTTTTTTTTTTTTTTTTTTTTTTTTTTTTTTTTTTTTTTTTTTTTTTTTGCGCGACATCGTCGGTCATAGTATACGCCCCCCTTTCTTTCTTCATTTCTCACTTTGAGCGGTATTTATCGCCCCGCGTTGTTTTTTGTTTTCTTCGTGTGTTTCGAGGCGACGTCGCGGCGCGACAGCTGCACTGCTAGCAAAATACACGAGAGCTAGTTTGTTGTGGGGGGGAAGGGGGGGGGAGTATCTTGAAAGTGAAGAATTGGGTTTGATTCCATATAATGGTAAATGGATTTGCTTGCCATAAATTTGCCAAAAGGATACACGTGCACGTACATGTAAGAAGGGTAGTTTATTTTACCCCCATCCGGCCGCAAAAGCTCAGTCACGCACGCGGTTTCTCTCTCCCTCTGCTACTGTTCCATACTGCCGCTCCACTCGTATTACTATTGATTTTCATACAAATACACATGTATATGTATACACATCCACGTACACCATACATATATACCCTCCACGAGGACGCGTGACTCTTTCCCCACTCTCGAGCTCGGGGGTATTTTTTATTATAATGAGATCGGTGACCTCGTACATTGGCGCTCATAGTGTATACGTGTGGTGTTGCCTTTGTTGCCGCTTTTCGACCTCGAGCGTGCAGCGGCGTGTTAATTCATTATTATTACTATTATCGTTATCATTGTTGTTGTTGCTGTGTTTAGCGTGGATTATCCCTGCCCTTCGTTTTTCCCAAAGTATTGTGCTTGCAGATCCGAAAATAACGTTTTTTTTTCCACTTTCCGAATAAAAAAAATTCCCCCCCGCGATCCGATCGATTTTGTCCCGTTACTCTTTAATCCGCAAGATCTCGGTTTAATCCCATTGACTCTATCAGGCATATATATGATCGCGAGGGAGAAAAATTCGACTGTACGTATAAAGTTAAAAAACCCTCGATCGGCGATTCGAGCTTTCAAAACTCGCCCCCCCCCCCTCCCTCACTCCTACCTAATATTTAATCAAAAGAGATCGAGGTACGCGAAGCCGAGAGAAATTTTATTTTTTCAGCTCCAACGTGCTTTTTAAATCCATTGCCCCCCTCCGAAGCGGGTTAACCTTATATACGCGACTCCTTTGAGAGTAATTTTCAATGTAAAATCCCTTGATATCCCTTCGATCGTACATATACGCATACTTGGCCCACATACAACTTTGAGAGTATCAAAATATTGTAAATTCACTACTTACTTGAAATGAAAAAAAAAAAAAAAAAAAAAAAAAATCAATTGATGTAGAAATTCAGATCGATAACGTGATACACCTAAAAGTTAATCCCTGATGGGTGCACTAATTACCTATCGGATCAAAAACTGTCAACCTATAGCCGCTTATTCCGGATGCAGATCAAGGCCATCGGACCGGGCTGACGTATACGTGCAAAAAGAGCACACACGCGATAATGCAAATTACGCATTTTAGCCCGCCACTGCACGCACCATTTGTTATATACGCGCTTGCTTGGTGCACCGGTGCCTCGACGTCGAGTGATCGTCTGGCATTAATTTCGGGGCCTTTTACGCGAAGGTGCACGTCTCGCGTTCTTACCCCAAGCTCCATGATTGGTCGCTCGCCTGGTATGCATTATGCAGCCTCCCTTTGCTCTTACTAATTTTCCGTGCAACAACGGAGCGTACGTATCCATCCTTGGCTGTTTCCCTCGCCAAGTACCAACTCATCGTTTTGACGAAGTTTTTTTTTTTTTTTTTTTTTTTCCTCATAATTCAAGCGAATAAACAGCGCGTAAATTGACAAAAACAAACTAAACCACAAAAAACCGGGCGTTATCAACCCACACCTTGAATGTAGCCTCGAAAAAAAAAAAAAAAAAAAAAAAAACCATTAGTCCTCCCTTCCCTGATATCGCGCTCGTTACTCCCCCAAAAAAAAGAGTCGAATTAGCCAAACTCCGCAAAAAGGGAGCACGACGTACAAAACGCTGCACACAATGGTTTTCCCAACGTACCACTGCTCCAGATACAGCGGAGAAAAGTGGATTTGGGAGTACTTTTTTATTCCCCTCTTACTCTCATTTTTTTCTCTATTGCTCTCCAGAGCTCTCGCGAAGCCGCGATCAGAAGACTACTTTTGGGAGTACAGTGGAAAACGAGAGCCCGAGATTCCCCAAGGTGCCACGTAGGCCCGCAAACCTTGTACACTTTGTCCGCATCGTTTTCTCCTTTTCCCCTGTTTCTCCAGGTATATAATAGGTTCGCACGCGGAAAACAGAGCGAGAGATAAAGTAACGCGTGCACCCACCGATGTGCACATATTATACGTAGCGTATATATAATATAATGGCCTTGGCTTCACCGGGAGCGCGATTTAGTAAAAATTCATTCCGTGCTGTTCTCTCGTGGGAGGAAAAGACTGGAGTACACGGGGTATGCGCTTCGCCGTGGCTCCTTCTCGTTTTCTCGCCTGACAGCTACGCCCCACGTCGTTCTGTATAAAATATGCTCGGCCATCCAATTTTTCCTTCCCGTTCGCGCTGTTGCACGTACTCGCGCGTCACTGGAGCTTGTATTACACGCTCCATCCTTCACGCGTACCTCCAGAGAGACAGAAATAATAAAAGATTACGGGGAAGAAAGGAAACGGGAGCGAGTGTGTGTGTGCTCGTCCATCGGGGCGAACCCTCGTTTTCGTAAATTGACACGACGTCCTTTCCCACCTCCCTGTAATAACGCGACGAAGAGCGAACGCGAGAAAAGAGATTTGCTCCGTCGGTTTATACACCCACACGTACGCTGCTTCTCTCCTTATTCCGTAACGAGGCGAATCCCAGCTCGGTCGGTGCTAATAGCGCAACGACCCGAATGCCTCGTGTACCGAGAAATCATAATAAACTCTTCGGCGAAAGTCGAATTATGCAAAGCTTATTACTATTAAACATTATGGATGATATCTCTGATGTAGTGCCTACTTTGATATTTTATGCCGTGTCGATTCACGTGACTTTATTCTCTTTTTCATCGTCTCTGTACGTTGTTCGATTGCAGACTTCCTGGATACGCCGGCGCGATTGGCACGTCCTCACCAGTGCGATGTTCACATACACGAATGACGAGAGGTTTCAAGTTTTACATGCAGAAGGCTCGGAGGACTGGACCCTTCAAATCAAGTACGTGCAGGAGAGAGACAACGGGACCTACGAGTGTCAAGTAAGTGATGTCTTCCACTTATTTTCCCTCGACCCTCCGGGCTCTATGCTCGTGCTAGATGTGTCCCATCGACTCGAACGGCGCGTCACCCTCCGATTTGGCTCCCCCCCCCCCCTTTGCTTTTTTTCTACTTTATTTGTCCATTCACGAGGAAATGGTGCGGCCATTCGTTCGGTAAACACTGTTTTCGTCGCTTGTAAAAATCGTTTGGCTTTCCGTTTGCTGTTGTTGTTGCAAGACGCGTTATTTGTGCGCGTCTGACTAAATCCGAGCTCTACTACTTGCTGTGTTTTTTCGTCAATTTTTACAGTGTTTCAATCTAATTTTTATATAAAATTGGCTCGTTTATTCGTTCGAAAAGTGATTTACAACAAACAGTTCAAAAAATTAACCGTATAATATTTTGTGATACATAAGTGATGTGAAAGAGTACCCTTGGATTCAAAAGAATTTTTCAGAGCATTTTTATTTAATTCACAAAGTCTGACTAAATTCTGACTTTACTACTTGCTGCGTTTCCATCAGTTATTCTGGTATTTAAGCTAAGAATTCGAGTACTATACTTTTTTTCTGTCAATGTTACAAAGTCTGACTAAATTCGGACTTTACTACTTGCCGCGTTTCCGTGAGATGACACCATCCGGTGCTGGAGCCAGATGTCAATATGGAGATACTTGTTTGCTCGCCCAATATTGATTTTCTCCAAGCATTTACTTCCTGTTTGATATAATATCAAATAACAAATTGACGTGTCTGACCAAATCGGGCTTCCACCACTGGCAACGTAATTTCCACCGGAATGTTTTTCGGTTCATTCTCCCTGAAATTCGGCAAAACAAGACCAAGCAGGCACCGGAGGAGAAATCACGCGCGTAAATTGAAATCGATCGTGCAGGCAAGCTCGAGAGCTCCGTCATCAATGTCGAATTAGCTCGCCAAAACCCGAAAGAACACATATACGTTCCGAGCGAAACTTTGGCGATAATTTTTTTCCTCGGCCCCGTGGCTTGGAAAAAAGTGCCCCGCAAGCCTTACTTGCAGTAGGGCGTAAAAAGGGCGGCGGCCATTTTAAGCTCACCTCCACGCGAGAGAACGTAACTTCATCCCCGGGCGTTAGCCCGCATGTTTTAAAAAATTTCTCCTTCGCTCTGGCGTCGGAGCAGGTATAGAGGGGCGGAGGGGGAGAACCCATAAATCGCCCCGGCTGCGGGAAAAATCTGTAAAACATTTCGCCGGAGGCCCATAAATCCAGCGTTAAGGTGCAAAGAGAGCAAATTCGCTCGGGTACCGCTAGAGAAGAAAAGGGTAGGGGGGGGAGGTAAAATTCGTGAGGGAAATCGGAAGCTACAGCGCAGCAGTGGTACAGTTGTTGCGACGTCGATGCCGAAGAGGAGCTCCACTGACCTTTTAAAAAGTTCGACGCTCACAGTTGCAAAGTTTCTCTTTTTCAACCACTGCCAGTAGGACGACTCCGCGTCTCCCGTCCTTATGTTAATTCAGAGCTATACGCCACCCGCTGCGGCTGAACTTGAAAAATTTTTTTTCTCCACTGAAACACCGTGTGTGTATTCTTTCGCAAGCGAGTAGAAAAATAAATAAAAAAAAGGTTTGGCTTTTCCCTCCGTTCGCTCGAGGAGCCAAAACTGATTTGACGTCTACGGAACACTCGGACAAATTTTACTTATCTGCGACAGATGATATCAGCGGCCGAGGCTTCCGAACATCTGCCGAGGCTGTCTTCCCAATATTTCCACCCTCCGACCCGTGTCTCCTCTCCCAGGGATGGAAATAAATATTCCACCCCATTTCGAAACTCTATACCTGCGGATACGGCCTTTCTCCTCTCGGTTTCTTTTTTCTCGTCGTCGGTTTGCTCGGTTTCTTTTATTTTTTTTTATTTTTATCAGATTCAATTATTTTTTGTATATTCCAACGGATCGGGAACACATGCAAAGCCGATGATTTTCCTCTCTCGTTCCAAATGAGGGAATCTGTATGCCGGGCCCGTTTCGTCGTTTGATATCGCGATGTGGCGCTCGTACAGCTTCGTGGGTGATGTTATTAAATTTGAATAATTTATCCCACCGCTCTTTACACGTAAATATACGACAACAAATTGGATACNAGGCCAAGCTCCGGAGGATATCAATGAACATATCTGACTTCTGATTCTATAATGTTCGAAGTTTGGATAGCTGAGATGGCTACGGCTTATGACACTAAAAAGATAGTTTTGCACTATGAGATTCGATTGAACTAGCCGCTTTTTTTTTTTTTTTTTTTTTTTGCAATTCCTTTTCAGGCCCCTTTTTTCACCTTTTTACTCATCGCCACAGTGTTGCGCGATGCAGCTTCTAGGTTAGAAATATATGTCGTATTTTAATTATACGGGTCGTGCTCTTACTGCAACTACTCACACTTGGTAAACTTACACTGAAAAAAAAAAAAAAAAAAAAACTCATCTCGCTTACATTCCAAGTTGGCGGGGGGTGTTATCCGATTGCGTTCATTTGAACGTGGTAGGCAGGAAAAAAAAAGGAAAAGAGAGGGGCAAACAGCCAGAAAACCGTGGCATTGAAGTTTAATAGAATTTTTAAGCCGGCCGAGCGCGCGGTCGAAATAATTTACAGTGGAAAAACGGGGTTGGGGATGAAAATCGCATCGGCGAGACGAGGAAGAGGAGAAGAAAGATCCAGGGAAGCTGGGACTCCGTCATTACCTCTGTTCGTCGGTTGCCGTGGAGAAACGTGCGAATGTATACACGTAGAGAGAGAGAGAGAGAGAGAGAGAAACGTGCGAATGTATACACGTAGAGAGAGAGAGAGAGAGAGAGGAAAAGTAGGCGATACGGCGAAAGGTTGACGCGCGAAAGGGGCTCTCGAAAGTCTCGGGTGCCTCGTTAAAACGATCCTTTTCCCTTTCTCTCTGTTTGTATGCATGGGGTGCCCACTATAGTAGCTCGTTGTACCTGCAGCGATTCTCTTCCTACTTGTTATTTTTCCTCTTCTTTCGTCTCCTTCTTACTTCGCTCCTCGCGCTCTCGAGGATCCCCGTTTCGACTCTTGGCCAACAAAGGCCGGCACATTCGGCTCGCGGGAGAGGAAACATTCATCAGCACCCTTTTCCAATTCACCATTTGTGTCACCCTGTACTTCTTTATTTATTTATTTTTTTTTTTTCAATTTCCAAAATTACGTTCGAAAAAAGCGCTCTCGCATTCCAAGGGAAAAAACACCGATCCCCACTTTTTCCGGTGTTTTTCATTCAATTATTCCAGTCTCGTGTGCTCCGCATAAATAATAACGGGGGGGATGGAGGCTGTAGGTGGTCACATTACGAAGATTTTCCTCGTCCGATACTCGTGCACGCAAACGTTGTTTGTTTTCATTAGCATAAACGAGGGACACCTCCCTTATTTTCGTGATTTTAATATTACGCAATAAATACACGCTGGCAGGTATGTATCCCTCGCCCGGGCAATCGAGACTCCGGCAGTGGTTATCTGGGCCGAATACCAAGTTGGGCATAAATTTTAATAACACACGCGGCGCCGGAGCGAAGGAGGAGAAGGTTCAATTTGTGAAACGACCGCGAATGGTATACGTACCTACATGCGATATCTCCCGAAAGAGAGGAGGAAAAAAAAATTACACGTGTATGAGTACGTATACGATGGAAAAGCTCGAGTATATGTATATGTGTTCAAACAAAAGGAAGAAAACGAAAAATTGGTACGCCAGAGTCTTGCATTACACTTCAAACGATTCATATATGAGAAGAATCGGGGGAGGGGTGGATAGTTGCAGTAGCACCGGCATCCCTTTCCACGGCCATAAACTTATTTTTGCTCCGTAGATGCTCGGGTTCCTTTGAACTTTGAAATTTGACAGTTTCGCCCGAGGGATCGGGCAAAGGAATATTATTTACACACACACACACGTACTCTAGCGCGCGTACGCTTGAAGCCGGCTGTATGTATACACGTGGGCATGTATGTATAACATAATACCGACATATCGTCTCTGAAATCGGACTTTTAAACTTTCGAGTGGAAACGTCGGGGTTGGGGGTGGGGGGAGGTGTATGCAGTAGCTCCTTGACTTTGCCTCCTATATGCTCTCACCAGCAGCTGCGGGAGCAGCTCAACTTTCTGTTTGGTAATCTGAGAAATTACTTTACCGCTCACGCCTCGAGCTTTCCCCGCGCTCTTTGAGCCCTCCGACTCTCTTTGCTCGACTTGCTCAATTTTTCCCTTTGGCCCGTACCGAGCACTTACCATCAAACTAGTTTATTTAATTAAAAACTCACCCCCCCAAAACCATTACTCTTACTTCGTACACCCCGTTTATCCTTGAAATTTGTATTTCGACTATCTAGTTGTCTCTCGATGGATTGTGTTCCCTTGGCAAACTTTGCTGTTTTCTCAAATATTTCTTGTTTCCTCCGCTCATCCGTGCACTTGTTTGAATATGAAAAATTCAAGGGGCTATGCGCGCCTTGCAAAGTCATATACTCACGGCGATCGACGCGTGTTTTCTCCCTCCCTCGTGGCGAGAGTTTTCCTTTTCTTCGAATTGGTGTGTAGAGAGAGATAAAGCGAGTGGCGTTCTCAAGATCTTTTTTTTTTTTTTTTTTTTTTGTTTCTCCTGCAGACCCCTTGTCGNTCCTCCGTGTGTACCCATATCATCCGCGCGACCCCGTCTCTTATTATTCTTCCTCTGTCTCTGCGACTTGCGGGACGGGGAGTTGGGGTGGCCTCGGATATCGCCAGCCATCTGCTTTTATTTTTCAACTCTCGGCAGCTGTGCTCAGCTCCTTTCATCTCCTTTTTTTTTTTTTTTTTTTTTTTTTTTTTTTTTTTTTGTTTCTCCTGCAGACCCCTTGTCGAGTGCAGTTGGCGCGGTGCGGGCGAGGATTAGGCGGAAATTCCTCTGCTGTCTCTTGATCGCTCTATTTTCGTCCGGTTCTCGGACATTTTTATCGGAAACTTTCGTGCGTTT